TCATGAAAGATTGATTTTTTTTCAAAGAAACATAAGCATTTTTTAATGCGCATCTATCAAAAGATTGATTTTTTTTTCAATCAGAAACACAAGTTTTTAATCACTTTATGAATATGTTTAATACGATCAGTTGCATTGTACAAACACTATTTTAACATAGTGCGGGTGCATGTCCTATCTTATTCCTGAGGAGTTACAATAGTATAAACTCTATTCACCTACGACCATGCATCTATAACATCACGTGTGCAGTTTCACTTCAGCTGCAAGTTCCCGTCGATTTGTTTGCTTCTGTGTTTGATGGAAATATGATTTCGTGCAGACTTACATATGGGATACCCGCAATAGTTCCCGCTGGGAAAATTGTTAATTCCTAAAAGCAACTATCGTTAAACGAGATCCCTGATTAAGTTTTCTTTATTTAAAAACATGATTTATCAATTCATTATTATTTCCACGTTAACAGAACTTCAGGTTAAAAAAGTGATTTTCATTATAGTAAAGTAGTATCGTTTGTTCCACGATGTGGTAACTTATGATGTGAATCGCAACGTTTCAGCTGCATTCTGTTGGTCTTCATCAGGTGATAAGGTCGACTAGTTCGGGCGTTGTCATAAAGCAGGATGCTCCGATGTAATTGATTGGTTTTTCCACAGCTGCAATTAGCGTGTTTTGATCCTCGATGTTATTGAGTTAAGTTTTACATAGTAGATAATATCTCAGAGCCAACATATCAGATCCAGATAATCGCTGGAAATGTTGGAATTTGTTCAAATTTTATTTAATAACGACTATAATAGCGTGTTTTCCTTTTTTTTTTTTTTCGCAATTCTTGCCCCACTTCTTGTCTATCATAAGAACATCTGTGTAGATATATAGATCATCAAAAGTGGCAAATTACGTCACACCTAACACATCTTGTCCGCAGGAAGAAGAGGGTTGAGCACTTTATCGTTGAAATAAAAGCAACGGAAGGGAGGGAAATTGCACAGCCGATTTGCTTATCGGGATCTTGAATATAAAGCTCGCGCAGGATCACTTAGTCCTGTTAAAGGTTCCCTTTCCTTCCGTGTTGAATTATGTTGCGATCAAAATTTCCTGTATTGGGCAGAATGTAATTTAATATCTGACATTAGCTTAAATTCCAATTTTTTTTGTTGAACCACGCGCTACGTAAATTTTCTAAGGCCGTCATGCGCTTGCCGAGCGCTCTTTACATATGAATTTAGTGTTCAGCACACGCGCATGTAGCTGAGAAAATAGGCAGGGTTTTTCTTTGGCAATTTAGCGTAATCATTCTGCAAAGATATGAACTCAGTCATTACACAATGTGCACTAAAGGAGAAGTTATGCAGTGAGAGAAAGGAAATAATGCAGGTTTATGGCTCAACTATTTCCCGCCGAGCGCACTTCGTTTTCTGATCCGTTAACGGATGATGATCAACTTCAAAGACCCAGTAAAACTCACATCGAGCAGGTGATCTAACTAAACGAAGAATATATATTTATATGTATTTTTCAACCTGGGAAATTCTGTAGTTCATTTGCATTCTTACACTTGCCCGAACATATTACTGAATCATTCCTGCCTTCGAAAACAATATTATGCGGGCCTAAAACACACACTCTTATCTCCTGATGGATCGATGACAGTTATATCTGTTCGGGTGCACGTAAATGAACTGATGGCATAATTACGCTAGTTTCCGGTGGACATAATATTTTTTTCCCAAATAACGACTACCTATAAAAGTGGATCCTCATTAGTTTTGAGTTGTTTACAATTTTTTCAAACACCCATTTTCATATCCACGTTAAGAAAACTTTAGCTTGATGAAGCTATTTTCGTGTCGTGAATCACTTGCATCTGTTAAGTAAAACAGCATTCTGCATCTGGTGTAAAGAGCTTTTAGTCTTATTGGTCCGTTTACGAGTGGAAAAATAGAACTCTCGCGGCTTATGTCAGCAAAAGCGGTCGAATGTGATGTTTATTACACTCACGTCCTATAAAATAGTTTAAAAAACGTTGACTAAAATCGGCTGCTCTTGTGATTTTACCAAGTCACGGACCATTATAAGGGTCCGACATTATAAGGTTGCCGACATGCACTAACGGCAACTTTTGATTGAGTAAGTTGATGGGTGGTGCGATGAGAGGGATTCAATCCAGCAAAATGTCCACAGCCCTGTCTTTACGTTGTGCGCTGAGTAAGTACAAGCTTTACTACTTCTCTTGGTTATGCTTTAGAAACAAAGAAGACAATGAATTAAAAAATGAATTAAGGAATAAATGATAGGATATCAATATGTCGGTATCGGGGCATCATGCAACCCTCAGCCGCTTCAAACCAGAGAGACGCAAGTCAAGTGGCAAGTATTCATCTCTCTAAAAACAAATCGATTGAACTCGACAACGTCCGCTCTTGAGTTTTATCACATAAAACAACTGGCTGAATGCGGAGTTTGCACATTTTTTTTTTTTTTATACAGTTTTTGCCACGACACAATTCGAAATGATTTGAAAGCAATGAGTCAGTATGAAACAATTACGAAGTTTTGAAAATGAAGTGCGGTCCGCGTGATCATAAAGATCAAAGGACCTAAAAGCTTTGTTCTTACCATCTTTGGCTAACTGGAGTTTCGTCGTTCGATGAAGCATCAGTCGTTCCAGTCCTGCTAAAACAATTAAAAAAAAAAAGGAAAAACTGTGATAAAATTAAACCCGGCGGTGCAATTTGTGTTCAGTAACCCTTTTTCTTAACATTTTGTAATATCGGTGTGTACTCATATCACTTCCGTGGAATTAATTCCACCCCACTAAAGCGAAAAAAAGTCTTGTGGTATTAACTCATTTATCATATTTTGGACTGGCTTTTGTGTTTTGTGTACTCTTGGGCTACATTGATTTGCAATTCGTATTTTCCATCCAAATTTTATTGTTATTATTATTAATATGTCATTTTGTCATTTTATTTATTTTCTCTTCGACTGAATTATAGACTTTTTCGTTTTTTTCTCGTCAGATATATTAAAACAAACAATAACTTGGTTGCCTCAAAAGTGCACTCGTACGCATGTTTCCTAAAATTATCTCAGTTATCCTTATCCGGGGACCAAACATTTTTAAAATTAGAAATATATGATAAATTTATATTTGACCTCTGAATGATTGTAATGATAATAATAAAAAAGAAATGACAAAGTAATCCTCAAAGGTTAGGAAACACGATAGAAATTGAAGAGAAAAAAAAAGGTAAGAGGCCGTAATATTTGCATCTCTCCAAGAATGTTACTTAGTTGCTCATTTACTATTAGAACTGCGAGGGACGATTTTGAACCGCGTCAAAGTTTTGATCACCTCTTTGTGGTTTCTTTCTCCGCAATTGCTTTGATCGAGGTAATCTTTTAAGGACTGTTTTACCGTCATATTTCAACCCCAAGGAAACAAAATTGGTTCTAAGGAAATAGATAACGTGCAATTTTTCGCACCAGGTGGAGGCTATTTTACAAACATCTTGGTCACAAACGTGTTAGCGTCGATAACATTTCCTTTGCGATTTTTCAGTTTTCGCTCACAGTGCTCGATCGTTTCGAAGGAAAAAGTTTGCTTCTTCTTCTGTAACGGAGGCAAACCAATGAAACTCCTTGTATTAGCGCTAGAATAACAACAGGGGAATATCACTAGGAATTTCCCATTCTTAGCTAGGGTCTTTTTCGGTCAGTTAACGTTTTACCTCAAGTCTTCATATATTTAAGGGAAGAATTGTATTCGAGTCCTTTTCGTTTGATAAGAGTCATTTTTGCAGTCAATAAGCTTGTTCAGGGTGACAGTGTCTGCGTTTAAAACTAGACTGTGAATGGCGAAAGATAAAAAAAGGGAAGATTCCTATGGTGAAACTAAAAAAGAATCCTGGCTGTAAGCACAAGTATCGAGGAAACTCGATGAGGAATGGTTGAAGAAACTCACCGAAACGGATAAGAGCTCGTGGTTGAAGCGACGGGCACACGGTCAGGAACCATTAACGAGTTCTGTCGCAGCATGCTCGAGCCGCTTTTGAGCTAAAAAAATAAATAAATACAATTGAAAATTTAAAAAAATAAATAAATAAAAATAAAAAATTCAATCCAAATTGCCGGCCAGCAGATTATTTAAATACCGTCTGGTACGGGCGACTATTACCCGCAAAATATGTTTTTGCTGCGAGTCTCCCGAGACAACGCGGGACACTTCTGTGTTTCGTAACTACGCGATAATAGAGAATGTAAACCATACGGTTTGCCTTGAAATTCGGTTTTCGAACTCCCCAACATACCATCCGCAAAACCCGGTGCGGGTTCCGTTTTCGAAATGGATCTCCCGCAATTGCCTGAGTGTAGAAAAAGAAAAAACAAACAAGAACATTATGGGGTGGTAATAAAATGAATATCAGCAGCAGGTAATTTAGTGTTTACAACTGGGTTGAAAACGTAAATTAGCCACCGTAAATGCTAAAGCTTTTTTACCCTTTACGGTGGCTAATTTACGTTTTCAACCCAGTTGTTAACACTAAATTACCTGCTATACTCTCCCACCGACGCAGCACCACAGTTTCTTTAGAAACTTACCCCTTTATTCATTTGAATATCAGCAGACTGCAGAACCTTAGAACCAAGAACCAGTGCAACCAGCGCAACCAGCGGAATAGTTATGATGAAAAAAAAAATAATAATAATGATAAAAACTAAAAAAAATACCTTAACGCTGTTCGAGATTTTGTTTTCGTTTATAAAGAAGATAACATCATCAGATAAATACGTTTGTTAGTTCTTTGCTAATATTTTTTTTGGTAGTTGTTTTTTTATTCTGTATTTTTTTTAATCTATCTATCTTGACGTCCGATAGGTAACAAGTTTTGTTCAGCTGGTTGCGGAGATACTGCACTTTTTTCTTTCAATTCCTCAGTTAGCTCCTTAGGGAAGGTAAAAAAGCCATGGGTAGATTTTAAGGTGCATGTAGCGAATAAAATGCTCTAGTACTAGTCTAACTTGAAATTTAAGAAACTCTTTTGTTGTTTCAAATGTTACAATCGACATAACAGTAAAATTATTTTCCCATTTTCTCTTCTACAGTCATCCTTCATTTGATAATGGAATTGCCAGGAACAGGTGAGGAAGTGTTATTACAATTTAATATTTATGTATCTGAAAATGACGTGAAAAGAAAGGATCTGACTGAATTATCAAAATGATTAGTGATAGACTTCCTGCTGCAATGACATAGTTTTGCGATTAAAAACATTAGTTGGAAAGCAAAACAAAAAGGTCAAAGATTAACGGTGCTATTACCCTGACTTCCCCAATTTCCACTTTTAAAACCTTACCTAATTCTAATTTTTCCTTCGGTGACGTAGAGGGTTTTGATGCCCATTGTTTTTTATCATTAATGGTATAAATTTTCTTTTTCTTCTCCATATCTTTATCGTTATTACTATTGTTATTATTAGTATACATTTTTTCCTTATTTATTTATTTTTTGTCTGCATGCCATCATCAGAATTATCACTATTGTTACAATCAGTATACATTTTCTTCGTTTATTTATTCCTTTATTATTTTTTTATAGAGTGCCAAGCAACCTGTTTCAAAAACTCCTGCTACATATTTTCGAAAAGCGGAAGATATTGGTATAGCAACAGAAATATCTGTTACCTCCAGGGAGGTTACTTAGTCTCCATCGAAACTGAAGAAGAATGGCACTTTATCAATCATGAGATTCAAAAGCGTGGTACTTGGAATACTAGTGCGTGGCACATTGGTTTAGGGAAGAGAGACAAGGGTTGGACTTGGGAGAGTGGAGAACAACTGAATATTTCGAAATGGCAAGATTCTCAGCTAGATGATAACGACGATAGAGCGGAAATATCCAAGAATGGAAGCCTCTTTAATGGTATCTCTTGGGGTGATAAAAACGCCTTCATTTGCGAGATGCCCAGAAGTAAGATCACATTCCAACCATAAAGTATATTATGTGCAGTCTTGCACTTGTGTCATGAAAATTTCTCTTGCTTCTTAAAAGTGAAAATATTGTTCACACAATACGCTCAGCTAACCTAACTTGTACGCGTGAGCGACGAATGAACGTTTAAGCGCGCATTAGTGGTTGAACATAATGCCCGTAAAAAAAATCCGGGACATATGTTTCGAAAAAAATGATCACTCAAAAATTGTTCTTTTTTGCATCGCCTGCAGTTGAGAAAAACAGCGATCGAAATTGTACATTTCACAATTTTTGTTGAGCCTGCCGAGATTGGGATAATCTAACCGGAATTTTCCCTTGCCACAAGTTACAAGACGTGTTCACTGAGGTCAGTGAGTGAACACATATTCTTTTGAACTTAACGCTTCGAAGTATGTATGCCCAAGGTCTTGAATACCGGTACTGAAGACAGAGTGTGCAGTTTTTTTTTTTTTAATTAATTAATTTTTTTTATTATTTAAACTCAACGAAATGTTTTCCAGAAAAACCATTATGATTTAAGGCTGTAATTACGGCAAGATCCTCCTGAACTGAACGATTTTGAGCGAGTAAATGGTAGTTGAAACACACACTGAGTTAATGCAAGTTAATTAGAGGCTTTATTGAAATATTTTTATTTATGTAATGGAAAAGGTGATTTAAAAGGCTTCCAAAATAACTTTAAAACATTTTTTTTTACAAGTATCTGTCACAATATGATACCTGTCAATTAAGGAGCGTGTAAGAAAAAAAAGCGCATGCACGTTTTAAAACAGAAAAAAACAACAACATCAACGGCATTGGTTTGGCAAAAAAACTTAAGTTCAATGTCTGTCACTAGAATTTTTTCTTTAAAAACAGTCAATGATCTTACGGAAAGTGTTACTCACTTCCATCGACTATTGATGAACGAAGTATAGCTCTGTTCAGTCAGTAAATGGAAAGTAATTGTAAGCAAATTTAAATCTGTTTCGAGATCGTGGGAGTTTGCTCGTTTATTTGGTGCAATTGCGTGTGTAAATCTGGTCTTTTGTCAAAAGCGGAATTTAATACAGCTTTTTCTCGTTGAATTCCTTCGTTTTCTGTTGTGAAATTTACGGTACAAATGTCTAATTTTAGAAGACTTATTAAGACTTACCAAAAGCGTATTTAAAGTATAGAATGAAGACTTCGCTTACTGTTTTTCAATGAAAAAATCGTTTGAAAGAATTCAGATATAAAATGATTGAAAATTTCATTAATTAATTCAATTTTAAACAAATACCTCACGTTCTAACTTCTTGAGTTACTTCTAGTGAAGGTCTAGGTTAATTACAAACGGTTTTCAGGCCGCGTGTCAACCCATCTAATGACAAATTTGCCACCAAAAATCATTTTACCATTTTTTTTGCCGGCAGCCACAGTGACTTAAAAGAGAGAAGGAGAGGATTAATAAGTTATTAATCAGCTTGATTTGCTTTAAAATGATTTGCTTAAAAATATTGCCCAGCTGGCAAATGATATATATTTATGAAAAATGGCAACAAGGCTAGGGTTGTAGCTAACGACTCGAGCAAGCGTTGCCGTGCCACTAGGCAGAGATAGGAAAATCCGGACGGCATTAAGAACCACAAAGATTGCACGATTCGTTACCGTTCAGAAAAACAAACAATAACTACAGTTCTTTCGGGAAAAGTTTTCGGGAAAAAGCGTGTCAGAAGTGCAAGCGGTGACCTTGACAGATATTGTGGGTAGCTTTCAGGTCATAGTTAGACGACCTCTAAGAAAAAGTCACTTTAAGGACGAGGCACCACGGGTTTGAACCTATTTTTAATACAAGATTGACTTTAACTTCGAAACTGCAATCAAATCGGAAGAAAAGCACAAGCTAACCTTAATTAATTTATCTTTACTTTTTTATGTCCATGTTGATAACCACCACCCAGATAATCTTTTGAGTTTGTCGCGTTCCCTTTAGATTTTTGTTCTGCTTTGTTTTTCTCCGATAAACTTTCCCATAGCAACTGTATACGGTGAACTGCGTATCTCCAGTTGCACATTTATGAAAACTTACATTCACATTTAATTTTACGTTTTTTAAGTCTGTTCAGATGGGGGAGGAAGAATAAGGGGCGGGGTGAGGGGAGGTGTCAGCTCAACAAGGAATTAATTAATATCCAAAAATTGAACTATTAAAATTACACGAACTCACAGATACTTTTAGCTGAAGTTCATAAAGGAAAGCAGAGATGGTGGACGCCGTAGTGAAGAAAGACGTACTGTATTAATTGACACTGACCAAACATAAACTACAGATGTTAAATTAAAAAAAACAAAGGAACGAAATAAAAAATGAAAAAAATCACATTTTCTTTCTCATTTTCTCCCCCTTTATTATGATTGTGATCATAGTTTTTTTACGTCTTAATCATTGTTATTATTATCACTTTGTTTATCATTATTATGATAATTAGTATTTTTGTTTCCGTTTTTATCATTTTGTAGGATGCTCAAACATAACTTTTAAGAACTCTTGGTACATAATTTCGGTGAATGGATGGTCATGGCTCTTAAACAGACAAACCTGCCAAAACCAAGGAGGGGACCTAGTATCAATTGAAACCGAAGAGGAATGGAAGTTCATTAATGACGAGATTCAAAGGCGAAATACTACGTACTATAGAAGTAAATGGAGTATCGGTTTAACAAAAAAAGCCGGGAATTGGACCTGGGTGAGTGAAAGACCGCTGACTATTTACAAATGGGGAAAAGGGGAGCCAAGTGGTGAACACGAAAAGGCCATCATGTACAAGCGGTCCAGTAATGGCAAACCGGGCGTGTTTGGTAGCACAGCTTGGAGTAACTGGCACGCTTATATTTGTGAGATTTCCGAGGGTAAGTTTTTCTTTTAGTTTGTTTTGTTTTGTTTTATTTTTTTTACCTTTTTGTTTTCTTATTCTTATTCTTATTATTATTATTATTATTATTATTATTATTATTATTTTGAGTAAACTAAAAGGCACCAGAAGCGCTTAGGCGTAACAAAAACATTCTTTGGTGACGTTTGCGATACTCACGAGATAATTTTTATAAACCCTCTGACAGTCGGGATCAAGCTTACACTTACATTTGCATGAATGAAAATATGTTTGAAACAATTTCAATGAACGTTGGATGAACGTGGGATGAACGTTGAATAACGCGGTTCGAATACGTGATAAAATGCAGGCTGTTTACAAGGAAATGACACTTGATGGAGTGAAGTCTAATAAGGCAAAATGAAATTTGATTGGTGGAATACGATTCAAAGGCATGAAAAAGTGCCACATGTTCATGTAGTGCAATTATGTAGTATGTTCTGATTGGACTTTAACGTTGAGGTTAATGTAACGGGAGTAAAATGGCCAGGCGGAACTAAACTGTAGGGACAGTGACAGAGAATGTAAATATTTTCCTATTGGTGTGTAAGCACGTGAGCCGCTACGGCATTAATTGCGTCTTTTGTTGTAGGTCGACTATAAGGTTTGACAATTGTAATGTATTCATCTCATTTGTCGAACTTTTCGAGCTCTAAGTTAAGTTTTTTTTTGCACATAATTTAGCCTGATGAAGTAGGCATTTACCAGAGTTCGTGCAGCGTACCGCGGGCACCCGGTTACTGATTACACGGGGGCTTCACGTGAGCTAGCAGAGTTGACGCAGCGCAAACAAAGGAATTTGGCGTTTTGAGCTGGTAGCCATACTAATTAGTTCGTAGTTGAAAGCTTCATTGATTCTCGGTAATTACACTGCAAAGAGGAACGGACGAAACGAAAAGAATGATGTTAAACGGCGAATATCTGACGAAGAGCGACGTGACAAGGAAAGACAATGAGCTCCAGAAGAAAAATTCACTGAAAAGAGGTCAACAACAAAGAAAAAGCGAATTACAAAGGAGCCGAGAAAGGAGGGACAGGAAGTAAGTTGATTTTTATCTGAATTTTTTCCTACACTAAGTCTCAGAAAAATTCAACACTCTTTATCAATTGTCGTTTGATACTAGCTTCAGTTTATAATTCATTGCTGTTTTACCACCATGATATATTCAAGCAATACTCTACATATTTAAAACTGATTACATAACGTCTTTCATAACTGTACACAGTTTATTTGCCCCTCACACTTCTTGGCATCAGTAGTCAAGAGCGATTTTTTTTCAAGACCGCGTGAGGGGTGGCACACCGACCGAAAAATGACCACCCTCATAGTTAAGTCAGAGAATCTGTATAGTGAACTTAGAAACGTGGTAAAGTTTTTCCCCCAGATCTGCCTCTTTATTCTAGAAAATTTGCTGAAACGAGCGTCGGTAGTCGTAAATTGGCGGAAAGCATTGCCCCGAGTGGAGGCAAATAAACTTTGCTCGTGAAAAGCGCAAAAGAAAGCAAGCTCATATCAGTACAATAAATTTTTATTTGAAAGATCGACGAATGGTTTAAGTTTAAAACAGCTGGACCATTTCATTTAATTTGGAGCTCGCGGAACGCTTTTGGATATCACCAATATTTCAAAATACAAATATCGCACTTCCTATCAATTTTCCAATTAAAATTTTCCCCACGCGGTATACCTTGGTATCGGCTCAGGTTAAGCTCGAAACAAGTGGAAATAGTATGGTTTTGGAGGACATAAAAATTATTTGGGGGCTTTTCATCTCCGTACAGTAAAACCAGGCCAAATTTTTTAAAAATCGCAACATTGTCATTTACGTCACGACATTCTCTAACTAGGCACCCATTTTGAAATCCAGAATCCAGGCAAATTTAGCAGTAAGTGTTCTGTTAGCTTACATGAATTATGTATGTAAAGAGGATTCTGGGATAGAATAAAAGATGGCGTTTTTTGCAGAACACGTGTAGTAGTTTGACTCACAAACAACACAACAAGGTGCCAGCGGTGGGATCTTTCCAATAAGATTTATAGTGAAGAAAATCAGATAAAAACGGAAATATGGGAGACCCTGCCCCAGGCGAAGCTAGAAATCAAGCTGTTCCACAACCTGTAGTTGACGAGCCGAACGAAGATGACGTTCACTCACCACAGCCTGCACAACAACAAGCCGTCATGCCTGCACAGCCTACGGTCCAACAGATCGCTGTGGCGAATATCCAATTCAACCGCCGGAAAAATTCAGTTTTAAACCCGACGAGTGGCTTCGCTGGATTAGACGTTTCGAACGAATTCGAAAGGCGACTGGCCTCGACTAAAAGGACGGTGAGAGCCAAGTAAACACTTTAATTTACTCGATGGGAGAAGCTGTTGATGACATTGTTGCCTCATTCGGAATAACCGCCTAGGAACTGAAGCAGTATGACGTAGTGAAAAGCAAGTTTGAAGCTCATTTGTTGTTAAGAGAAACGTAATATTTGAAAGAGCCAAATTTAATCCAAGAGGTCAACAGGATAGTGAGTCCGTGGATAACTTCATAACAGATTTATATTGTCTAGCTGAATACTGTGAATTTGGAACATTAAGAGATGATCTCATCAGAGACAGAATCGTTGTAGGTTTAAAGGCAGAAAACTTTCTGAACAGCTGCAACTGGATCCCAAGCTGACTTTAGAGAAGGCAGTTACTAAGGCCAGGCAGTCTGAGACAGTGAAGAAGCAACAAACTTTCCTACAGGGAAACAAGTCAGAACAAACACCAGCTAATGTAGACTGCTTATTTAAAGGAAAGGGAAAAGATGATAAAACTAAACCAAAAGATGCAAAGAAGCCCCATAAGCCTAGAAACGGGACAGAGAAGACTCCTGAAGCACAATGTTTAAGGTGCCTGGATCCATCACACTCAAAGAGACAATGTCCAACCAGAGAATCCCAATGTATCAAGCGCTCCAAAGTAGCACATCGGGCAAAGGCTTGCAAATCTCGATCTCGGAAGAAAGTGAATGAAGTGAGCTTCTCAGACACATAAGACGAACATTCTTCCCGGGTGAACTAACTGAGGTAGCTACTGTTCAAGGACAAGCACAAAGTTCATGGAAAGCGAAAGTCGTGATTAATGGACAACCGATATATTTTCAAGTGGATGCTGGTGCAGATGTCATGGTAGTTCCGCCAGGCCTGTTTTACAGCTTAAAACGAGCTCCTGTACTCAAGAACGCATCCAGGCTACTTATGGGTCCATGTAAACAGAAACTAAGCTGCTAAGGAACTTTCATCGCGGAGCTGCAAGTGAAGGATACGATTGCTAAGGAACGAATGTATGGGATAGAAGATTAAGAGCGACCTCTGCTAGGCAGGGAGCCAGCTGAACATTATAAACTCATAAGCAGACTTGACAGCTTAGGCAGTGATGACTAGGAAGGACTGTTATCATATCACACCCAAAGAAGGCGCTAAACCCTTTCAAGTTACAGTTTCAAGAAAAGTCCCCTTACCATTTTATCAGAAGGCAAAAGAAGAATCGGATAGAATGTTGAAATCAGGTGTCATATCCAAAGTTGACGAGCACACAAGCTGGTGTGCTCCCATGGTGGTTGCCCCAAAAAGCAATGGCAAGAGTCAGGGTCTGCGTGGACCTCAGCAAGGTGAACGAGTACGTCAAAAGAGAGAACCCACCACTTCCAGCAGTAGATAAAGCTCTGGGAAGATTGGCAGGTTCCAAAGTCTTCGCAAGACTCGATGCAAACTGATGATTTTGGCAGATAAGGTCTGCATGGGAATCGAGACCGCTGACCTCTCCTTCAATGTTCTATCCTTTGGTGTCAGTCCTGGGTCTTAGAAATTCCAGAAGAACACGAATCAGATTCTCCAGGCATTAGAGGGAGTAGAGTGCAGCATAGATGACGTTTTAGCTCATGGAAAAAACCAAGAGGAATATGACGAAAGACTAGAAGCCGTACTTAAGCGCCTGGTCGAAGCCGGCGTTACATTCAACCTTGACTAGTGCAAGTTCCTCAGGCATGTCATTAGCTCCCGTGGAATTGAGGCGGATCCTGACAAGCTGCAAGCAATCCCAGATCTCCCGCCACCCCAGAACGTTCAAGAAGTGAGAACATTTCTGGGCATGGTAAAATAATGAAGCAAGTTTTCGGTGCATCTTGCTGGCAAGACAAAGAGCATCAGGGAACTCCTTTGCCAAGGGAATCAGTGGTCATGGGAAACTGAGCAACAGAAAGCATTTGAGCAGATCAAAGCTGACCTCAAACAAGCTCCAATACTGGCACTATATGATCCTAACAAGGAGACCAAGATAGGAGCTGGTGCCTTATTGGTCGAGCAGAAGTGAACTCTCTGTCGTGCAGGACACTCTACTCAAAGCATCCAGGATCCTTATCCCATCCTCCATATGACTTGAGATCTTGGATAAGATCCATGGGGGATATCAGAGAATCACCAAATGCCGTAAGCAGGTCAAAAGCTCTGTTTGGTGGCCAGGACTTAGTAGAGAAATCCAGGATCTGGTTCAGTAATGTAGGGTTTGCGCTTTGCATAAGGAAAACAAACCCGAACCGCTTATAGCAACGCTAACACCACTACCAGACCGCCCCCGGCAAGTCGTAGCCACAGACCTCTTCGAGCTGAAAGGCATCGACTACCTGATTGTAATAAACTACTTATCAAGGTACATAGAAGTAGCAGCCATGAAGAAGACGACAAAGTCAAGTGAGGTCATAACAGCACTTAAGTTGATATTTTCCAGAAGAGGCATCCCCGGACAAGTGCGATCAGACAATGGTCCTCAATTTGACGGTGCAGAATGCTCATACTATTTTACTCGTAGTCCGAGATTTCCCCAGTCAAACGGATAAGTTTAACGTGGATTTAGAACCATGAAGAATCTGCTCTCGAGAGAAAAAGACTCAGCTAAAGGATTACTGGCCTACAGATCAACGCCATTAGCATTCAAGTTTTCTCCTGCCCAGTTGTTGATGGGAAGGCAGCTCAGCTTAACCCGCAGTGGCATGATCTGGAAAACCTACGTGAAAAAGAAAGCATGAGCAAGCTGAAGCAGCAAACATTGTTCAACAGCAGGCACAAGGCAAAGCTTTTACCTCTGATTGGATCAGGTACGGAAGTCTTTGTGAAGGACCTTCAGCGTTCAGGGAAAGTCATCAAAGCAGCAGTAACACCCCAGTGATATAAGGTTGAAACACCAGCCACCACGATCAGAAGAAACCTTTTTCGCCTAACCCCACTGCCAGATCAGCAGGAAAACGAACTAAACCCGGAGGAGAAACAAGTTCCAGCAGAGAGCAAGGCTGCAACACTTATTCACACGTTCTCAGTTTCTAAGAGACTTTCGAGTTTCCCCTGAAACACGTATTCTTGCTACTAGGCCTAAGCGAGTTATAAGACCATCGCTCAAAGTCAGAGAAAATCTAGGTTTAGCATCATAAGACACGGTGTTAAGAGATTTGATTTCGACTGTGTCCATGACTTTTCAGACCTTATGCTCTTTAACCACAGGTGGCCCAAGCTCACGTCTCGAGAAAAAGCTAACGATGAATCCATGAACGCGTCACGCGTTGCGTGACTTCGGTGTTAAGTTACGGGAGGAACCGTTGAAAATTTGAACACTTTATAAGGAATAGTATGGGGAACGAATTATGGTCGATTTACAACAGTAAATATTTCGAAATATGAATATTTTACACGTAAAATCAATAAAACTTACTCATGCCCTGTGTATCCGTCGTAGTTTCTGGCGATTTCTGCCGTTTTAAGCTTGAATACCATCACTGTTATCCATGTCCAAAAGACAGGTAAAGGTAAAGTAAGCTTAAAACGGCAGAAATCGCCAGAAACTACGACGGATGCACAGGGAACGGAGTAAGTTTTATTGATTTTACGTGTAAAATATTAATATTTCGAAATATTTATCGTTGTAAATCGACCATATTTCGTTCCCCATACTATTCCTTATAACGTGTTCAAATTTTTAACGGTTCCTCCTGTAACTTAACACCGAGGTCACACAACGCGTGACGCGTTCATGAATTCATCGTTGACTTTTTCTTGAGACGTGAGCTCGGGCCCCCTGTGCTTTAACAAAAAGGGGGAGATGTTGTGTTAGCTTACATGATATATGTACATACAAGAGGATTCTGGGATAGGGTACAAGATGGCGTTCATTACAGAACACGTGTAGTATTTGGACCCTCAAACAACACAACAGTAAGCACCGTGGGCAATCAGGGAAATTTATACAGTAAGCTAACCTTGCATGGCTAACGACGGCAGACTGGTTTTTATACCTTCTCTCGTTTCAATTTGTCATTTATTTCCCATGGCGAAATTTTCTACAATAATGCAATCCGTAAAGTAGCAACAGGCATCTGTTTTTCTTTGCGTATTCGAACACATTCATACCGGTAGGTCAACAGTTCTCGGCCAAACGTTGAAGAAGGGCAGCAATCTGAAATTAGGGTAGATGTAACACACTCAATGGTTCGTCACGTAGGCTGAACGTATTGCAATCTTGCTCACATCTTGCAATTTTACGGCCACCAATATCCGTAAATAACTTACAGGTTTTTAAGTTTTCGACTGCAAATTAGGGAGATTAAAAAGTTTAACTTTCTCATTTGAAAGAAAAAAAGATCACAGAATGCAGAAGGGAAACTTGAATTGTGCCAGCTAATTTCCTCCATTGCCTTTCATATTTTCGATCAAATAAACTCCAATCAGTTGTATAGGGTTTGCCTGCAATGTAAAAAATTACCAGAGGGGACTTCTTCTCAGATGGTCAGCTTTTAAAATATTGCATCTGAAATTTTACTGCCTCATTTGATCATAAGAGTAACATTTTATGTTTTCACATGCAACAGGATGGTGCAGCTGAAGATGGCCCTGAAAAGGAGTGAAATCTATTGCAACAAAGGTGACTTTTGGGGAAACTTGAGCACTTAACTGGTAAATACATTTCGGCTTGTAATTTTAATGATAACAGTCTGCTGACACAGGAAATTGAAAAGTCCGTTTCTATACTTGAATGTTCCTTTTATATGACCTGTAAAGTGAGAACTGAAAAATGTAATTTTATGTAAAGTGGCACCCCTCCTCCCACCCCCAAGACAAAATATAATGCTTTCCTGTAAACATGGATGTATAGGAGAAGCTTTAGAGCTATTGACCCTGTTTTTGTTAGAATTCAGAAGGTTTGATAATTGTAATGTATATTTTCAGCTTTCAAACTTTTAATTTTATATCAATCATAATCATAACTACTTGTTTGCCATACATACTGTATTTCTTGAAAAGTTGTCACACTTAAGTCTGTAACCTTTGTAAAGAATTGTGCGATTATTTAATTTTGCAGTATTTCCCAAATTGTAACATGTAATTTGGATGGCAATAAATTCTCAGGCTCCAGATTTCAATAGTATATGGTGTTCTTACAAATGCTGATACCCATTCCACAAAGGAAACTTTGATATAAGCAATTGGTCACAAGATAAGTGAGTTTAAAAAGAAGGGAATCTGGAAAACCAAGGGTCCGTCTTTAACCCTTTAACCCTCATGAGTGACCAAGACAGAGAATATCAATATCATATTAACTAGATAAGTGATGAGAATAAAGAAAAAATATCAATTTAGGGATAATTAGTTGATCCAGTACTAAATTCTCTGAACTAACATTCTAATAATTGTATGGTTGACAGGAAGGAAAATGATAAATTTGATATGTGAGTTAAAGTGTTCATTAAGACTGAAATTAATGGGCACCCTCCTCTTTTCAGTCATGTTTTTACTTTGACCTGCCTCCTTTCTCTTCATGTTTAGGGGTACATAGGTTATCTCTCTCACCCCTGAGAGTGACTAGCATCCTATTTCTCCCAACAATATCACCCCTGAAGCAAACATTGAGGTCAATAGAATAAGGAAAATGACCAACAACTGAAGAAACTTGTGATTGCTCAACAAATTCTCCTATTCAGAAAATCGGGAAATGTCCAGGACACTATTGAGAATATACACAGTGATGTCAGGGTGTGAAAGGGATGAGTAATTTTTTTCATATTTTGACACATGGAAATTGAATTAATTGACATCTACATTGTACAGAAGGCAAAATTATATGTGCCTTAGCTTGATGAGTTCATGACATGAAGTAAGAAAGTTGTGCCAACCATATCCCACTTTCTATCTTTCCCTGGATATGTGCACAAATAACAGTCATTAGAATTGTCTCATTCACTCTTATTGTCCACTGAACCCAGGAAAAGATGATAACCTCCTTATTTGTTTGAAAGCTTGTCCTCACACCATTGACTTCATGCCCCCCCCCCCCCCCCCTCTCTCTCTCTCTCTCTCTCTCTCTCTCTCTCTCTTCTCAACTAATTAAATTGGAGCTAGGTTCTCAAAACTTGAAAAGCAGCCAGTTGGGAAACTGTCAGCGGATATCATGAAGTTCTTTTGTGCATGAGCAAATTGCTATTTTTAAAGCACTCTCTGAAGATTAGAATTTAATGGAGGACCCCTGGCTTTCATTCACTACCAAACTGTAATTCTCATTGTTATTTTCTTGCAAATTAAGTTGATTTTGCCATTATGGGTATAACCCTAGATTAAACCTTGACACCCTAACATCTGCATGCATATCCTCCATACTGTTCTCTAATGTTTCCTAAGTTGCTGACAAGAACTTGTTTAACAATCAAAAGCTTCTTTTATATAATTAGTTGGTGATCATTTCCTATATTCTCCTGACCTTAATATGTGACTCAGGGGTGATATTGCAGGGAGAAATAGATGCAAGTCACTCTTAGGGGTTTAAGGACTAATGTGTAACCTGCATGTGAAGGTTATCCTTCTAAGGCAGCTAACACTTATAAATCACAGTTCTTTATACATAAGTCTTTATCATGTTGTTCCAAGTACATTTGACTCAATTTTACCTTAAAATAACCTAAACTGAATATTAAACAGAAATTTGAAGGGTATTTTTCATTTTCCTTTTGAAGAGTGCTTCACAGTTTTGAAGTCAAGACATGAGGCTTAAACTACAGGTTTATAGGGAATCTGCATGAGTACAAGTTTCATCAACATTAACGCCCTTACAGGCATGTGTACAGGTACATGTAGGTGTTGTAAAAAGCTGCTAACCTTTCAACTCCCAAGATCTAGTCGTCAATTCTCCCCTCTAGCTGCTACACAGTTCTTTGTAAGTTAGTAATGAGGATCTGATGTTAGATCAAGATAACTTCTGTCTGAGAAGTTTGAGTATTCTCTTTACCTGTCTGTCCGGTAATGTATGAATATTACAGGGAGAAGTTACATGTTAATCACTTGTGGGAGCTAAAGGGTTAAATTCGGAGAATCTTTTGCTTAGGTTTCTCATTAAAGTAACCTGTATGAGTATACTTCTTTTTTTTTTTTTTTTAATCTTGTTTTTCTAAACCAAATTTTATATTCTTTCAATATACTTGAATCTCCTGGTATTAGCTATCACAGATCTATTTAAAGATTTTTTTGTACTAGTAATTACAAGAAATTGTGCGGCTGTATGACAGCATATAAATTTAACCTGACCCTGTTGATGCTCTATTAGGTGTAGGGATTGGGACTGGTAGTCGAACCAGTCTTGTGCACATCCTATGCATCCCAGTAATCTATACATGTCATAAAGTATTTTATCCTTCCTGAAACTAGTTTACAAGAATGAATTACCTAGAAATCTATCATGGCTTTTCACAATAATAGTTTCCAGGCTTAAAAAAATCACTTTCCTCATTAAAATATCCCCTAAATCTACTGGCTTGGAAGACAAAACTGAACGTGCATCTAATGTATAATCTGAGTTAGTGCACTGAGTTGGCCCAAATTTTTAGCAATTACCCAAGTCTTTTCAAAACCTTTTAAGTTAATTTTTTTTTCACAGTGAACCAGTGAAAGTCCTAACGGATGGTCAAATGAATACTTTTTCAGATCACTCAGTAAAATTTATTCTTGTGCTTCACGTTAACATGTTGCCACAACCCTAACTGATAGGCTGCCATCTAAAACTTTTCAACCTCTTTGGTAATAACCCGTATATGTCCAATACAACAAATCCGACTGGATTCTTCTATGGCAGTTGACGAATCCACCCACTGTTAGTCGAATTAATTTCGTATTTCAATGGCTAGAGTTGCCAGGATCATGGACAGTTGGTTTAAAAATACTGACATATGCAATTACAGCAGAGGTATTTCCAGCTATAGGCCGACAATAATGAAACGCGAGTAGTCGAAAGAGTAGAATTTAAAAGAAAACAGGTTTAAAAACGAGTTGAAAGTGACTTTTCTCTTGAAACTTTTCTCTTCTTCTCTTTTCTCTCTTTTTCTCTTTTCTCGTTTATTGAGGATTTGGTGAAAAGCATTGGTCAAAAGCTCTTTACTGTCAACAATGTAACAAAACAATTGTAAACAGGGTTAAACGGATATCAACAGAGAAAATCGCATTTTTGCTAATTTTATTTAAAATTATTATTATTATTATTAGATAGTTTTTACTTCTTTATTAACTTATTGATGCTTTTTATAATTGTTATTACTAGTCTTTAGATAGTCATTTTGCGACAATTCTCTTTCGTACACAAGAAGAATGTACAATAGGGTATATATTTTAATATTCATATTCTTGAATCTGTAAATAGTCTATTTTTTTAAATCTATGAATAAAGTTTTGAATTTTATTTTAAAAAAATATTATTATTATTATTATTATTATTATCATTATTATTTTATATTTTTTATCATTATTTAGATGAGACGTCTAGCAAAAGAAAACTTGACCTTGTGGCGGTCATTTCGGGCGGCGCAGACGTAACAAGAGGACTCCACAAAAACATCACATTAAATGCCTCATTGTCATATGACCCGGAAGTTGCACATGGCAACCGATCAGGAATGAAATTCACCTGGCATTATGGCAAAGTCACAGGAAATCACTCCGGTAAACAAGCGGAGGCGAAGGCGGAGGAAGATTTCTTTACAGCAGTAAACAAGTCGGCCATTTATTATAATGGAAATGCATCTGGCGAACTAGTTTCCTTAAACGACGAAGCTTTTTCTGTTAATCAGACCTATCTAGTTAAACTGGTAGTGACCAAGGATATTCGCATTTCCACCGTTTATCAAGTTATCCATTTGATAGAAGGAGACCCCCCAGAAATATATCAAAGGTTAGGGATTTACTTGGTTTTTTCTGTTGTTATTAAGTTTGCTTGGTTTGTTTTTACTGTTGTTTTTGTTGCCGTTGTTAATACCTATACTTGTTCTCGACCTTGGTCTTTATCTTTATTTTAGCTACTGTTGCTTTTGTTGTCCAATTCTACCTGTTTTGTTTCTGGTTTTGTTATTTTTCGTTGTTTCTGTTTCCTTTGTTCTATATACTTTGTTGTTGCTGTTAATGATAATGTTATGGTTTGTATTGTCGTTTTGGTTATTACTATTGTTGCAGCTACTTCATTAGCAGTTGTTCATATCAATGTTGAATTGCAGCCACTGCAACAGCTGTTCTTCTTAATTATATGATCTCATCAGACAACGGAAGTTCAAAACCCCTTCTTCATTGACTGTTCGTATAATCTTTTTGCTTCATTTTAGATGTTTCTTTAACTGTCAACTTAAAGTGAGTCCCTTAGTCAAACTTAGTATCAAGTCACAATGCCGCGGATTACAGTGCTCTAAAATATCATCCTATGAGTGGAGGCTCTACCAGCAGTTCAAGCGAAACACCTCCTTTACTTGGCAAAGAAAACATAATTTACGACTCGTCACAAGTACACCGCTGAATTCAAGTGACATTGTTATCAAAGGAGGTTCCCTTACTGGTGGAAATAAGTACCGCTTGGCACTATTCATAACAATTACGGACGTTTTAAGGAGAACGAATGCTTACGATTATTCTATAGCAATACCTCCAACAGGGGGCAACTGCTCGATCTCTCCGCCAAGCGGCATCTCACTGAAGACTGATTTCAATCTGAGCTGTAGCAACTGGGAAAGTGACAACACCCCTCTGTCCTACCTGTTTCAGTACAGGCTAGAGAATGGTCTGTACAATGTATTATATCGTGGCGTTAACAACAACATAAGTACCTCTTGGATACCGCCTGGGAACAATACAGATAATTTTACTGTCAAAGTTATCGCTACTGTGACTGACAATTTCGGAATTTCTACTTCCCCAATCTCTTTGACAGTTCAGGTACGTCGCTAACCATTAATTTAATGTCTAGCAAGAAAGGATGTGAGAATATGTTAATTTCTTTTGGTCCCTATTAGTAATAAATTAGTTACAGTTATAGATACCTGCTTTTGACTTTTGCAGATCAAGCCATCTCAGAACACAAACCTTCTAATGGCAAAGAACAGTACATTTCAGAAATTCATCGAGATCGGAAACCTGACAGAAGCAGCGCTAATAGCAAACTCTTTCCTGCTATCAGTTTTACAAGAAACCTCAATGGGTTTTCAGGAGAGATACAAGGTACATTTAAAACGCAACTTGTTACTTAAAAAGTGAAACAAAACTAGTTCATTATGATCGTACCCGAAAAGTAAAGAGTTTACCGAGAGCCAAACATGCAAAAAAAAAAAGAAGATAATAAAGAATTTGTATTAAAATATATAATAATGATAATAATAATAATAAATCAACTTTCGAAGAACAGACAAATATAATACACTAAATATATGAACATATTTTTGAGAAAAATGAAGGCTTGTGTGTTAAATATCGTTACTACGCGAGAGTCGTGGCTACCACGTTAGATGTTCACTCTCCATTATTCTCGCGGGTTGATTGTGTGAGCAAACAATTCCGTCTTCCGTTGTGACGAGTAAAAACGCTCTAGAGCCTTGAATTAAATCTCAAACGAAGACTTACAACGTCTTGAAAATGAGGCTTCAAATTTTATTTCAAGAGCGGAAATCACCGGACAATCCATTATTTCAGGTTGGACATTTTTGGTGTTTTGATGCATGCGAATCAATCATGCGCTTGCAAATTTATCATTTTGATGGGTTTTAACTAGCAATATCATTGGGGAACCTGATACGTTGAGTCTAAGTATGCCTTTAGATGTATCATCTTTGGAACGAGCCTAATATGAGAGACACAGTCTGTTTGCCTATTTCTCTATTGGCTTAAATAACATTAAGCTTTATCGTTGTTCAAGGTTATGAACTACATCCTTGAAAACATTTCGCCCTTGGAAGCAAAAACAGTCTCAGACCTCCTCCAAAAATCTTCGGTTATCGGTTCTGCTCTTCAGGCTCTGGAGGAAGTGCCCCACCAGTCTCTGGTAAGTGAAGTACTGATTGGGGCTGGAAGAGCCTTGGTTGTTACGCCAAGTTTTTATACCATGATACTATTTAGCAAGAAAGGCTACAGAAACAACAGCAAAGGAGAAGAAAACGGAAACAAACAAGCAACTATTGTGTTATCAAATCAAGCAATCTATAATTTTGTACTTACTTTAAATAATTCGCCACAAATTATTTCTACACAGGTCAATGGAAAGAAATCTGAAATTAAGCATATGTAGCTTCATTTATATTCATTTGCACTCCACAGAATTTCTCCTTATCTGCTATCAGTTCAGTGACGTCACTCCTATGGTCTATCGCCCAGAAACGAGACGTAGCAGACATATCACTGACAAGGCAATCGGCAGAAAACTTGGCTTCATGTCTTAATACCGTGTTGAAGGCAGCAGCGGTGACTGCATCAGAAGACTCCAAGTCAAGTTTTCAACAACAGGTACTTTAACGTACATTTAGGTGATGTCCAAAAGTCTACGAATTAAACAGACCCTTAAAAACGTAATTATACATGCAAGCATAATCATTAGACTTTATTCATTGGTAAATGGTCCATTGCAAATTGCAGTTAACTTAACCGTTACTCCCTTCTTCATTCAGACTTTGAACCTTTTATGGTTTGTTTGTATGTATGTTTGCTTTAAGCTTTCGAAAATCCATAATTTGCTTATAATTTATTATATGTTTATTTATGCAATTTCTACAGGGTGAACTATTAGTGAAGATTTCAATGAAGGCCCTCGAGAAAGTTGCAGACTCATTGTTGGCATTGACATTACCTGATGAAAAAACGATACCATTCACTGCAGGACAGCTCTCCATGACACTCGGAAGATGTAGCCTCCAAAGACTTTCAGGACTGGAAGTAAGAGCAGGAAAAGGTCGGTTTATCTTACCGTCCAAGAGCCAATTGTTACTCGCTGGAGTAAACAAAACAAGCTTTGTAGATGTTCAGGTAAGTATTCCTGTCCTTCAGGCAAATTTCAATCCAAGTTTTTTTCAGCAGATACCGGCACCAGTCAAGTTAAAATCACACATTAGACACCTTACAGGTTGCTTATTACCTCCAGCAATCATATTTCTTGCTTTGCCTTTGACGTGTTCAACTCTGGCACTTGGGCAGCAAAAGAGAATCGAATCATGTGACCGAAGTGACCAAATGAATGTTATATATTCTTCGTTTTTTTCTAAATATAATTTCAGTTTTATTTGAACCCAGCTTATGATAACTTCTGATTAAGAGTAAGACGGAGTACCCTGTTTACGTGTTCAATTATAGCAGTCCACAAAAACAAACAAGCAAAATTCTTAATTATTTCTCTTTTAGATGCTCTCATTTTCTTTCAACCCTTACACTTGGGACGGCACCAAGGAACGAGTTGGCTCTGATGTTGTAACCCTGCAGTTGAAAAACAACGACAGCGAGCTTATTAAAGTATCAAATCTCACGGAAGACATTGTTATCGTTACGCCTTTAAAACTTCAGAAAATCTCTGCTTCAGAAAAGTCATGGTATTTCACAAAGAACAATGATCTACGTTTCCACGAGATAAACGTCAAGTATGAAAACACCCTGCTGATGCTGGAAATCAAACCTCAAGATCCAACCGTACATCTGTTTGTCTATATGCGTTTTGGTCAGCGACCGACAACTCAAAACTACGACCTCAATGCTACTATCTCTCATGACGAAAAGTGTGTTTGGATGATAGGCACACATGACAAAAGGGACGGACAAACGGTCTGCTTCTTGAATCCACATGCGCCAATACAAGTTCTGGCTGAGCGTCCTGGGAAATACTTACTCGGCTTAAAAAATTATAATGCCACAGTGAACTTATCTCACACAAGGGATAAGAGATCTTGTCTTGGTGGAAGGCGAAGGAAGCGCTCCTGCGTCGAAGTCAAAGATCCACCACCCGCCCCACCCCAGAGTGAAAATGTCCCTGTGATGCCAGTTTATGATTCCACAACAGACCAGAACTACACTCTAAAGGTGACCTTGGGTAGTTGCGTTTACTGGTCAGAAACACTTGACAAGTGGATATCATCTGGTTGCCGAGTAAGTGAAAATTAAATAAAGGTTTTCAGCGCAATCTTTTTTATCTAATTTGGCATCGTATTCAACACAATTCAGATAATTTGAGCTTTCCTGAGTAATGTTTGTAAAAGTGCTGTGGTACTGCAATAATCTTCACTCATTAAGCTTATCATTGAATTCAGGCTAATCTTTGATTAGAGAACATTTTCAGACAAAAGTCGAATCGATTTGATAGCCAGCCGTGGTATAGAAGCGCCTTAAAACAAAAAAGATGCGGTGTGATTTATGGTGACAGCCAAAATGATAATTTTTATCATTAAGATCTTCCTTGCCTTTATAATTTCAGGTTTTAGCAGAATTAGATGGATTTTTAAACTGTAGCTGTAGCCACTTGACGTCATTTGGGGGAAGTCTCTTAGTTGAACCGAATCGCATTGACTTCGACAAGGTTTTAATCGAGTTCCAACAGTTATCAGAAACTGGAAATATCGCAGTTATTGTGGTTATTGCGGTGATTTTATTATGTTATGTGACTGTGCTTATCATCGTACGGAAATTCGACGAGGAAGACGCCAAAAATGTGAGTGTAGAGTCAGATTTTGCTTAGGACTGTTGTTTTAACGGAGCATGCTCTCCAGTATAACCACTTTACTCCTATGATCTTGTTGTTAAATCTCCCTCCGGTTGCTTTACAATTTTTTGTAAATAAGTCATGACAATTTGCTAATTGATCAAGATAACAAAATCTACCTGATAATTTTGAGTATTCTCATGACCTGTTACCTAGATAATGTACAGATATTTTTGGGAGAAGTTGCATGTTGATCACCCCTGGGAGTTAAAGTGTTAAGAAAAAAAAAGGCTTTAAAAAGTTAAGTGACAGCCCTTTTTTTTTTTTTGGACTGGAAAAAAAAATTGAATTTAGAATATAAATCAGTTAGCCATAATTCATGCTTTATCATGTTTTTTTAAGAGGGAGGCACCGATCAAACTTCCATCATCTTCAAGCTGCACCTATGAGTATAATATAGTGATTACTACAGGGGCTTGGAAAAACTCAGGCACGACTGCTCATGTTGCTTTGGAGATTTACGGTTCTGATGGAAAGAGTGGCATTCTTCAGCTTAGCCAAGAAGAACCTGGTGCAGTGAATACGTTATTCTCACGAGGTAATTCAGATGTTTTTGTACTTTATGTTAACAAATCACTTGGTGCGATTCAAGGAGTGCAGATTGGACATGATAATTTTGGAGATAGTCCCTCGTGGTACCTAGAAGAAATCCTGATTCGGGACGTACAATCTAAGCAGTCGTGGAAATTCATGGCCAATCAGTGGTTTGCTCTTGAGCGCGGAGATGGGCGCATCGAGCGAGTAATCGACCAGACCTCAAATAATTTGGATTTTGGCAATGAAGTTGCAAGACGTTGGCGAAGAGGCCTTGCGGAGTCGCATATTTGGATTTCAGTAGCAGCCAAGCTGAGAAAAAGCCGCTTTACAAGAGTACAGCGGCTGTCTTGCTGCCTCTCAGTGCTTTTGACATCTATGTTTGCTAACGCGATGTTCTACAAGTTAGAGGGCAAATATGAACAGCCTATCCAAGTCGGACCGCTGAAAATGTCGTGGAGACAAGTGGTAACTGGAATTGAAAGCGCACTTGTTGTGACACCCATAAACATTTTTACAGTGTTTCTGTTTCAGAAAGGAGCTGGAAAGTCTTCCACGAACAATGACTATTGTCTTAAAGGTACCCTGATCTCTGGTATCGCTTGGTGTTTGTTGTTTTTTTCTTGTACTGTTTCAGCTGCGTTTTCAATTTTCTACAGTCTAGTTTGGGAAAAGAGTGTCAGTGAACAGTGGCTGTCTTCGATGCTTATCTCATTCGCGCAGGACGTAACAATCAAGGAACCAGTAAAGGTGTTCTTCACAGCTTTAACATTCGCGGCCATTTTAAAGATAAAGGCGAAGAGATCAAAAGTACACGCCTGCGAAAGCCCTCAGCAAGTTAAATCTGGGTACTTTAAGAAACATTTTTGGGCACTGCAATTATCAGAGGTGGAAGAGATGAGGAGACGACAAGCTAAGAAACAGAACCTGACACGTTATTTCACAGAGTTGGGTTTATACTTGGTCTTCGTTTTCTTGCTTATGGCAGTGTGCTATGGAAACAGAAATGACCATCGGTACTTGATGACGAAATCAATCCGAGATGGACTACCAAACTTTGGCAAAGTGAGTAAACATTATTTGATTATGATAAATTCATTGCTGAAATTCGCGTGTTTAATTTATCTTATGATTTTTTGTTTCCATGGAGATTCAAAATCAAATATATGAAGGAAAATTTTACTTTGCCGGTCTCTTCAAGAAATGACTAAGGCATTTTCTGCTCTTGTAATGGATATTTTGAGGAGGAATATCCCTTTAGAAACAGCGTACAAGAGATATGTTAGTGCGCGAGACCCAAATTTAGGAATGGAAAGAAATTCCAAGCGATAGATATATAATCCCATGAAGAGATTGGCATTCAATTCTGCCATAGAAGAAAACCAGAGAGCGGCAAACATAATATTTGAGGGGATGGGTGCAATGAAAATAAGCAAGTGAGAATAATAGTCTAAGACACGCCCATAAATAGTAACTCGCTTGTGTGACTCAAACTTCTGCTCGTCTATCCATACTGCTACTAACTCGTTTAATGGAAAGAATATTTGTAACCATCGTAGATATACTATAAAATTTACGTAATAAATGTGGCGGTTACTTAAGCTTTGTTCAGCTGTGACGGCATGAAGACACGACTTCGTTACGTTGGTTAAATGATGACAATTCACTTATATATATATATATATATATATATATATATATATATATATATATATATTATATATATATATATATATATGAAATATATATATATATATATATATATATATATATATATATATATATATATATATAGTTACCCAATGATCTTGTGTTAATTCAGGTGACAAACAATACAATGTACTGGAGCTGGTTACAGCATGTTTTCATCCCAGGAGTGTTTTCCAGCAGATGGTACAACGGTCAAAGGGATGAGCAAACAATTTATATTGGTAATAAACAATCTCTTCTCGTCGGAATGGCTCGAGTAAGGCAACTCAGAGTGAAAGCGAGTAAGTTTTTTTCCATTTTTATTACTTTTTGCATTTCAGTGAAAAGGCTATTTACCCACACACGCCATTTTTTATTGTATGGTTATACAAATATAATTTAGTCTGACAGAGAAGCGATCAAACCTAAATATTGCGCTAAACAATAAGTTTTTTGAAATTCTTGAAGACAAAAATTTTTAACATGTACCAGTAACAATTTCAGCGACTCCTGACCATTCTAACAATTATCGAGACGAGTGTTTAGGTAGCTGCGTTTTTTTTATGAACGGTAATTAAATTAAGGTTTTGATGACGGCTCTCCTTTCCTCCGCAAGCAAATGTTACTTTGAAGGCTTCTAAAACAACTTTAATTCTCTATAACAGAGGTGTCCATATTTGTTAAAAAAGTACGAAATGTGGCAAACCGCTGAGTGAAATGAATACCAAAACAAACTTCCTGATTATGATCCTTTGTTCCAACTTTCAGCGCAATGTAAAGTCCTAAACTATATGTGTTTCAAGGGATATTCGACAAAGAACGAAGACAAGACCGCCTACAACAAACCAGGCTGGAGGCCTGTCGACAGCACTATGAGGAATGACGAGTTATTGCAACTTTGCCCGAAGCCATGGCGATATCAACATGCCGAGGAAACCGACACTAGACCCAGGTGGGGACAGTTCTCCTTTTATGATGGAGGAGGATTTGTAGCAGACCTCGGGTATGATAACCTTACGGGGTTCAGCATAGTAACAAATTTACAAAACAACGGTTGGCTTGACAGGCAAACCAGAGTTGTCCTGGCAGAGTTTTCCACATATAATCCGTCGGTGAATATTTTAGGGGTTGCCACATACTTCTATGAAGTTGATGCATCTGGACTGAAAGCAGCCTCCATACAAACTCATGTTCTTTCACTTGATTCTACGGACACGCCCTCACATCAGTTTTATTTGATTTCCTTGCTTCTGTACATTGTATTCGTTTTTTTGTATTTTGGAAGGGAAATTTTCAGACTTTACAATCATCGTTCTCGATATTTCAAGTCTATCTGGAATTGGGTCGATCTATTCCAGATTCTTTTTTCCTGATTGCTGTGGTGATGTACATAATACGACAAAGTAAAGCCATTTCAACCATGGGCAAACTGCATAAAAACATTTATGCAAATCTAAGTTTCCAAGAAGCTATCACTTGCCAAGAAGTAGAAAATGTCGTACTGGGTATTCTCACTTTCATCGTCACCATCAAGCTATTGCGAATCATTCGCTTCAACAACTATGTTGCTCTATTCTCCACAACATTGAAGATATCTGCACGATCTTTGTCATCCTTTAGCATCGTTTTATCCATTTTCTTTGTGGCATTTTTGCACTTCGGTGTCTTGATGTTTGGCTGTGTATCTGAGAGATACTCTTCGGTGCTAAAAGGAGCCTATTTCCAACTCGAGGTAACTCTTGGTCGAGTGAAAGCTAGACCAATCAATGAATTAGCACAGGCTAATACCATATACGCCAAAATATTCGCCTTCTTAATTCTCTTCACGCTCACTATTCTCTGTATGAACATCTTTATCGGCATAATCAACGATGCTCTTTTGGATGCTAAGAACTATGTGAGCGAAAGTGAGCTGTATGATCTTATCGATGAGAACCGTTGCTCGAGCTCAAAAGAAAGAAAAGAGTTTTTCGATGCAATCAGTAACAAGTTGAAACAGTCGAGAACCTCTAAAACGTCAGCAGAAGTGAAGGACAAAGAATCTGGAAACATTGGCCTTGACCCCACGAACAATGCCAATCTTAACTTTGATTTAATAAGTCAAGCTATCATAGCTTGGAGGAAGAAAAGATCCAGAGAAACAATAGATAAACAGCAATGCAGTACAAGGAGACAAGCATTGTTCGACAGGATAAGCAACATGTTAAAATCTCTGAAAGGTGAAAGCAATGACGACTGCAGCAAACGTAGAGAAAAAAAGAAAGTAAGATTTCAAGAGGATGTCGTCGAGTCTTCCCTCCGTAAATTACGTAAGAGAGAACATGACCTGTTACAGCGGCTGGAGAGTATTGTTTCAGGGTTCACAGCAGAAGACGAAGAATTCGATTATTTATTAATAACAGCAGAGGTCTATCTCTACTAAGAAGAGAGAGTAAAAAGAAAAGATGAAAGGAAGTAAAATACTTCATCGAAATCATTGTAAAAAAACAGATCGTTAAGCATAAATCATCTCGAACACACAAAGAAATAGCAGGAATTCCCCAGCGTTTCGTAGCATTGTGGCAAATAACAAAAAGAGGATAAAAACTTAGAAGTCATTGTTTTTTACATTTTTTTATAGCTGATCTCAAAGGAAGAACCTGTATATAATTTTTCTTTGGAGCCTATTGATTGTTTATAAATATGGCTCGTATTCAACGGCAAAAAATATGAACTGCTTCATATCATTTAAAATAGAGTTACACGAAGGAAGTTAAGTATTGTTATGTCATACAATCCGTCTGTTATATATATATTCTGCTGCAAAAAGATGGAACGATTTAGACGAATATGTTCGAGCCTCAATGACTTTAAAGATTTAAAAATTGTATTTGAGACTATAGATCATTTTACTGTTTAGCAACAAGTAGCCTTTACTTATCTTATTTAATATATTTGATTGGTTTCATTTATTGAAATATAATTATGAAATTGAATTATTGTTTTCCATGAATAAGACTTACCTATTTACTCACTTAGACAGTTTCTTTGTTCGGAGAAATTAGCACCACTATGCTACTCTAAAATTTCGAACGGAAGTAAAGTTATGTATGTATGTATGTATGTAGGATTAAAATTCTGCTGGTATCGAGCGTATTGACTCACTCCATTGGTGACGACTGATCCCCCAACTCTGCCTCCTTAAGACCATGGGATCCCCCCTCCCGCCAGACGATTGATAATGACTGATCTCAATAAAAAGCATTTTACACGTGCTCCAAAAATTAATTGATTTCATTGATGTCAACAAAGGGCTCAAACGCAGTGGGCCGCGACCATGGCCAAACCCTTCACGTCCGTGGTAAGCTAGATGGCGCTTCCTGCGTAAGTGATAGCTTCTCAGTCACATTTTCCCCAATTAGCTTTTGCAAGCACGTTCTTGGTTGTCAGGTACGCGTAAAACCAACTGAAACTTGTTTATTCGGGGGGTTTGCTGGTTAAACCGCGTAGTGATGTCTAAAACTGCCCCTTATAAATGTTGCGTACAGAGGGGACGCTAAAAGCAATGCTTTGTTCGACAAGCATCGGGGAAAGATGTATATAGCCATGCTCTAACATCAACAATCAAAGCGTAAGGATTATATTCAAATATATTTATTAAATAAGTATTCTACATTGTAATATTAGCGTAAAATAAGTTTGCAGCAAGTACATGTTCAATGTTGTTCCAGTGCTGATCATTTTGGCTGCATATTACTTCCAATGCACAGAGTTGAATAATTCCACCGGTTCAAAACTTCGCCAAAAAAAGAGCCATAAAAGTTACATGAAACCTAAAGGGTATTTAAACTTTCGGTGGCTTTAAAAAGCAAGCTGGATGCTTGTTGACCTCCTGCGATATGGAAATTAATTAAAAAGGTCTAAATTACTGAGGTAAACATTCATCAGAAGCCCCGCATGTCCTTTCCGTTGAACACGTAAGAGGGCTTTGTCGGT